AGTGTATTACAGATTTGCTGCTTGTAAGCAGATTACATAAACTTTTCAGTACAATAAAGAACACCTAAGTGTTCCACTGTAAGATACGAACAAAAACTCCTTGCTTATTTACAAAACTATACACAAATGATTTCTCTACGGAGTTTGCACAATGCTTTGGTGTAGTTTTGTTGAGCTTGATTTGAACTGATAAGTTTGTCGTTATAGTGTAATTTCTTACTTTTCTCCAGCTTCCAAGTCTTCCTTTTATAACTTATAAAAGAGATCCGTTGAAAGGGTATAAATATAAATCAAAAATCTAGTTGTTGGTTCTCAACGATTATAATTAGAGTAGTCACAATCAAGTACAAAAGGATTGTCCTTGCGCCACTCTACAAGAGTAAAGGTCACAAACACTTTATGTACCTTTTGTACACTATCACACGTTAACCATTTTGAAATTTTCTTCTTATTTTCAGAGGCTTATGATATTTGAATGTTTAACAATGAAGCTTGTTGTAGAAGAATCTTTCTTTAATCTTAGAACCTTAGTCTTGGAGTCTTCAGAACTTGTCGCACAAAACCTTGTCTTCAGAGTCTTCAGCACTTGGTTGTAAGAATTTTCTTTTCTTCATATCATCAAAACTTGTTCAAAAAAACCTCATCTTCATAATCTTCATAACTTGTAACACATTGAAGCAAAGCTTTAGAAGGCCTCCAAAGCTTAACCATAAAGTCACGATCAGAACCTCTTATACTAACGTTCCTTAGACACATTACAGAAGATAGATTCAGAACCTTGACTTTAACTGTAACATGTAACCACGTGTTTTCTTCCAGAGTGTATACTCAGAACCTGATGACGTGACACGCCTTGTACCAGAGTCAAAACATTATAGCAGCAGCTACACACTAGAACGAAAACCATTAGTGTATGCAATTTTTCTCTTAGATAACATGTAAAGTTATCATAAAAATCTCAAGGTGAGATGTAGAAACACTTCTTATTCTTACATTCTCTTCTTCTGATCTTCAACAAGACCAAGACCATAATAAATACCAATTGATTTATCGAATCTTGCTACTTCTTTGTATTCTTTATCTCCAAAGCTTTCACACACGACCAATTGTACCTATTGCACATAAGACAATTCAATTCAATTGTTATTCTCACGTTACTTCCTTTATGTTCTTTATCTCCAAAGGCTTTCACTAGGATGCAATACTATCTTGAATGTCTTGCACGAAAAACCCCAAATCTGCCAACAATCTTGGAGGACAAATTCGCGGTTTTTCAGATGAAACCCCCTACAAATATCAACCTAATATTCTTGGCTACACAAGAACCTAATTGGATGTTATCAAACCTCGCCTAAATGACTCCCCAACAAAATATGATTATGTGTGTATGCATAGTTTAGAGGTCAAAGATGAAGAGCAAATGCAGTATGTATTTATAATTTCATCAAGTTGGAATGATGCATGAATGATGTATTTATAGTTGTGGAAGTTTAAATGCAAAGAGGAAATTTTCAAACTAAAACGAATTAAAAAATTGACCCAATTAAATAACATGTGCTGACCTAAAATTCTTATGTGGCGACACATAGGTCAAAAACCAATTGTATGTGCCGACCTGAAAATTGTATGTGCCACACATAAAATAAGAAAACCCAAATATTCTGAAAGTTTCAGTATGTGCCGGCCTGTATGGACGCATGTGTCAGCCTAAGACCTCCAAAGGCTACAAGCTTCAAAACTGAGTTGCATGTGCCGACCTGAAAACCGTATGTGCCGACCTGAAAATCAGATGTGTCGACACATGCAAGTGTTTTTATGCAGAAAATGATTTTTCTTGATTTAGATTAATTATAAACTTGTTTTGAATGCTTCCAAAGATCTCTAATGCAAGGGTGCACCAAACAACACATAGATACCGTCTAATATACATGAATGTTAAATTTTCCTTGTTTTGACATCACGCAAAACATCTAATGGTGAAGTTATACTCACAAAATGTTCGATGATTATGAGTTTCTTCTTCACAAAATGAAGTATGTTTATGAGCTCAGGAGAAATTTATTATCCATAAGCAAGTTTCACGATCTAGGTTATTGCACTAGAGTTGAATCTGGGGTGTTAAAGGTTTCACATGGTGAAGTGATAATAGTTAAAATGTCTAAAATACATGGTTTATATATTTTAGAAGGCTCTAATGTTGTTGTTCATCCATCAGCAACTATTAAAAACTTTCATGAAAAGAATAAGCTATGAGAATTAAGGTTAAGGCATGACGGATGCCCGAAGGTTGTTTTAGATCACTTTAATGGTGGATGCCTGAAGGTTGTTTCAGACTTAAAATGTTCGATGATTGTGAGTTTTTTCTTTACAACATTAAATATGTTTATGAGCTTAGGTGAAATTTTTTATCCATAAGCAAGTTTCATGATCTAGGCTATTGCACTAGAGTTGAACATGGTGTGTTAAAGGTTTCACATTGTGAAGTGATAGTAGCTAAAATGTATAAAATGTGAGGCTTAAATATTTTAAAAGGCTCTAATTTTGTTGTTCATTCATCACTAACAATTGAAAACTTTCATGAAAAGAATAAGTTATGTGAATTGAGGTTAAGGCATGATGGATACCCAAAGGTTATTTCAGATCACTTTAATGAGTTTTACAAAAGACGGAGATAAAAATGAATTTAACTGCTAGGTTAACATGGTGTTTCAAGGGTTAGGATGATGCTAAAGCATCTCATCTAATCGAATGTATTCACTTACAAGAATAAACTTTCAAATATTTGTGGAGGTTTGGAATAGAAAGATTATAACCTACTATATTTTGAAGGTTGTTACAACTTTGCTTATTGATTAAATTAAACCAACTGAGCTTGATGGTAAAGTTGGGAGTTGTGTACTCAATGGCTATCTAAGAGGTAAGATAGGTTATGAGATGTTGGGAGAGGAATCAGGAGAATCAAAGTTCATCAATCGCATATGTATTACTTTCTGTAAGTCCTATTAGGGGAGGAATATTAAAGACATGGGGATAAAGCTTTTAAACACTATAGTGAAGAAGACTCAATGTGAGGTGAAGGTTCCTATATGGATACTAGTAGTAGTAGGAAGAAATTACAGAGACTTGTGATTATCATTTTACTTATGATGAGGTAAGGAATGAAATTGTACCATCTCAAAGGGACATTTTTTCTTGATAAGAAAATAGATTTTGTTGTTAGGAACTTAGGTGATTATTTTTCTTGTAACTCATCTGTAATATTTTGCAACAACTCTTGGAAGCATAATGAATCAAAGAGCTGCTATTTGCTCTACAATAGATCGTTTGATCGAACTGCGTAAACAAGTTATTGTATTTCTTGTATTTTATCTTGCATATAAAGTTATTTTTGCAAAAGGCCATTTTATTTTAATTGTCATTATTCTTTGTCCCTACATATCAATTTTTTTGGCGTGATTGAACCTTTCAATTTTACAACAAATAAAAAAAAATATTTAAAAGTGAGTATTATATTCTAAAAGATCTAAATAAGATATCAAACACATCATTAATCCATAATAGTTTGATCACATGCATTAACATTAGATAACATTCTCAATATAATGATTAATTGTATTGATTTCTATAATAAAATAATTACTATTTATTAAAATAACCTTATTATAATAGATAACATAATAGTTTCATAAATTAAAATACAATAAATAAGAATAAATTAGTGAAAATAAATAATAAATATCATATTGATATTTTAAAATGGACAGATAATTTAAAAGTAGACAAATAAAAATAAAAAAGAGAATATATATTATAAGACAAATGGAGTATTAATTAAATTCAATTGTACCATTACTTATAAACCACCTATGCTTTATATAGCAAAGTAGGAATGGCAATTTTTTTTTCTATTTTAACCAATAATATATTGACTTGAAGTATATTGTGAAAATAGTAGAACCCAATTTAGAGTATGGATTTTTGAAAAATATACCGAAATAATTTAAATTATTGAAAAATATAAAAAATACAATAAATTAAATGAGGGCTATTTATATCACTAAGTGGCATGGAAGTGAATGTTGAATCTCCTAAACAAATATTTATTTATTGCAAAATAAACTCAAATACAAAATCAATATCAATCAAATTTTTAAAGATGTGATAAGAATATTTTAAAGTTATTTCGAATTAAATTATTTGATTTTTGAACATTTTAAATTTCAAAACAAATAAAATCAATATCAATCACACATATTTATTTTATTAAGTATTTATATTTGCTATAACAAACCAATAATATTGGGAATAATCAATTTCAATTGAAATACACCATAGTAAAATAAAAAATGCGCATCCAGGGAATCGAACCCTGGTCAGTACCGTGGGAGGGTACTATGATACCACTACACCAGATGCGCTTTTGATTTTATCTAATACAGTTTAGTATAATAGTATATTTTGATTATTAAACAATTATTCAAATAAAAAATCGTTGTTAGTTGGCAGTGACACACGTGTTCCCGTGTTTCCCATTGGACCTCCTTTGTAACGAAGCAGTGAAGTGGCAATGTTACTCACGTGAGAGAAAAAACCCAAAACACGAACGTAAAAAAAAAAACCGAAGTTGAATTGAGTTGAAGCCTGTTCGTGTTTTTTGTTTTTCTCGTCCAAAAAACCTAATCAAATCCTGTGAATTGGAGAGTGAGTGAAAGAGTGAGGGGAAAACCATTCATCTTCCCCGATCCCAATTCCATTAATCTTTCCTCTTTCTTTCAGGTACGCAATTCCCAATTCTTGATTCTCCATTCAATTCTTGATCCTCGATCACCATATCCAAAACCCTAATTCTTTCATCCAATTTCAATTCTTTTATGCAGATGTGGGGGTTTCATCTGGTTTCTGCAAAATTTGTAATCTTTCATAAATAAATATATTTTCTTGATTCTGGGTTTGTTTTTTCTTTTTTCTTTTTTGTTGTTGTAAGTGTTTTATAATTTTCAATGGCTAATAACCCAACACAACCTAATGTTGGGTTCATCCCTTCAAACCCTGACAAAACTTCTTCAATTACCCCTCCACCTACATTTCCTCCACCCTTGTTGCATTTACACAAAGATCAAGGCTCACCTCATTCAAATGCTGCCTCACCTGCCAATGGTGTTGCTGCTACAGGAAGTCCTGTTCCTCACTTGAGTACTCCTCCTGGACCGCCTGTTTTTACGTCGCCAGTGAGGCCCGCGGCTGTTCCGTTTCGAACTTCGCCTGCTTCGCCTCAGCCGCCTGCTTTTTCTTCGCCGCCGACTCATTATGCCAATGGATCGTTTGATTTGCAGCGTCAAGTTTCTGATAATGTTGGGGATCATGTTTCACTTGGGGAGCCTTCCTTTGTTCTTTTTTCAGCTCATAAGGTCAGTTCTGCTTTTCATTAAAGCATGTTTGTATCCACTAACATTAATATTTGCGAGATTGTTTGAGAAAACTCTGAAAAAGGCTTATGACATTTTCAGCTTATTTTCGCTAGCTCGTTAGCTTACTTATTTATTCTTTGATATTGAAATAACTTACACATAGCACTTAAATATAATAAGAGCTTATGCAATAACTATTTAATTAAGTTGTTTATCCAAACATGACCATAATTCATAATCATGATATGGAGTCTTACATTGAATTACTACTGGATAAAATAAAACCTAGAAAAACTATAAGACAAGTTATTAAGAAAAATCTCAGAGATTAATGATTTGGATAGAAACATGATCTTGGATTGAACATATGGTGAAAGTTGATCCAAGTAGCCAACTCCAATTAGTGGGATAAGGGTTGGTTGTTGTTGTTGTATATTCTTTTCATTCAATTATATATGTATTAATGTGTAAACTTGTTTTTTTTCTTCCATTTGATAAATAGGTATTGAAGCAGAAGAAACAGGCTAATGTACCCAGTTTGGGTTTCGGGGCATTGGTCTCTCCTGGGAGGGAGGTGTCAACAGGCCCCCAGGTAATACAACGTGATCCGCATCGCTGTCAAAGCTGTGGGGCATATGCAAATATATATTGCAACATATTGCTTGGATCAGGCCAGTGGCAGTGTGTGATATGTCGAAAATTGAATGGAAGTGACGGTGAGTACATTGCACATAGCAAGGAAGATCTTCACAGATTTCCTGAACTAGCTTCACCAATGGTTGACTTTGTTCAAACTGGGACCAAGAGACCTGGGTTTGTTCCAGTTTCAGATTCCAGAATGTCTGCACCAGTAGTTCTTGTAATAGATGAATGTTTAGATGAACCTCACTTACACCATCTTCAGAGCTCCTTGCATGCATTTGTTGATTCTCTCCCTCCAACAACAAGATTAGGAATTCTACTATATGGCCGTACTGTATCAGTGTATGACTTTTCAGAAGAGTCGGTTGCATCTGCCGACGTGCTTCCCGGGGACAAGTCAGCAAGTCAGGAATATTTGAAAACTTTGATTTTTGGTACCGGTATATATTTGTCACCCATGCATGCTTCACTGGCTGTAGCACATTCCGTGTTTTCATCATTGAGGCCATATAAGTTGAATGTACCAGAAGCTTCCAGAGATCGGTGCCTAGGAACTGCGGTTGAGGTTGCTCTTGCTATAATTCAGGGGCCATCTGCTGATCTGTCCAGAGGGGTAGTCAAAAGGTCAGGGGGCAATAGTAGAATTATTGTTTGTGCTGGTGGACCGAACACTTATGGGCCTGGTTCTGTTCCTCATTCTTTCAACCACCCTAATTATCCGTATATGGAAAAGACAGCATTAAAATGGATGGAGAATTTAGGTCGCGAGGCTCATCGACACAATGTATTGGTTGATATTTTATGTGCTGGAACATGCCCTGTAAGAGTTCCTATCTTACATCCTCTTGCAAAAGCATCAGGTGGAGTTTTGGTTCTTCATGATGATTTTGGAGAAGCTTTTGGTGTTAATTTACAAAGGGCATCTTCCAGATCAGCAGGCTCCCATGGATTGTTAGAATTGCGGACATCAGATGATATTCTCATTACACAAGTTGTGGGTCCAGGGGAAGAGTCACACGTAGACACCCATGAAACATTTAAAAATGACACCGCTCTTTATATTCAAATGCTAAGTGTTGAAGAGACACAAAGCTTTTCTCTCTCTATGGAGACCAAAGGAGATATCAAAAGCGATTTCGTCTTTTTCCAGTTTGCTATTCAGTATTCAAATGTGTATCAGGCTGATGTTTCAAGGGTTGTTACTGTTAGATTGCCTACAGTAGACAGTGTTTCGGGATATCTCGAGAGTGTTCAGGATGAAGTTGCTGCAGTCCTCATTGCAAAGAGAACTCTGTTACGAGCGAAAAACCAATCTGTTGCTGTTGAGATGCGGAAAACAATAGATGAAAGAATCAAAGATATTGGTCTAAAATTTGGCACCCAATTACCCAAATCAAAACTCCATTGCTTCCCAAAAGAGCTGTCTCTCTTACCGGAGCTCCTTTTCCATCTCAGGAGAGGGCCACTATTGGGATGTATTATTGGCCATGAAGATGAGAGGTCTGTGCTGAGGAACCTGTTTCTAAATGCATCCTTTGATCTATCACTCAGAATGGTGGCTCCTCGTTGTCTAATGCACAGGGAGGGAGGAACTTTTGAGGAGCTACCGGCTTATGATCTTGCTATGCAGTCTGATACTGCTGTTGTACTTGACCATGGCCACTGATGTCTTCATTTGGCTGGTATGCTTCCTCTTATCTGTTCCAGCATTACATTTTCTTAGTTGACCATGTGATAAATTACTTGCAGTCACTGTCATTTCATGGTTTAGAGGTTACTGTTGGGCAATAATCTAAATCAGTTATACTGCATTTGCTATCCTTACAGCAAATGCTTAAATTGTTTTTAAATTGCTTCGTGTTGTTTAACCTCTAATGGTAATGGACCTTGAAATGTCGTTGCATTATAGAATGTTGAAACCATAGTTGGTCTGGTTACAGTTGTTAATAGTGTGCAGTGTTGAGTGGTGAGATAGGTTTGAGCCACAGACAGTGGCACATGAGTGACGTCTTCCTTGTTTCTCTTTTCTTCTTCCTTTATTGAATGAGAAGACCATCCTTCTTTTTCTGTCACCATGCCAGCGGCTGCCATTCCAGCAGCAATTGTGGCCGGTGGCAAATGGTCAACCAATGGTGTTGCAACCTACAGAAATTCAATTCTCAGTCTCTTGACTGATTCGAAATAGTTAATAAGCTTTTCTCCTGAAATAAATACATTTTCCTATTAACTTATCGATGTATCTTCTAGGGTGCTGAACTTGTAGCTGACGAAGGAAAGAGTGCTGCTGCTTTGGCTGCATGCAGGACATTGGCTGAAGAGCTGACCGAATTACGTTTTCCAGCTCCTCGCATCCTTGCATTCAAGGTTACTATTCGTTCTCTGTGCCATCTTCTGCTTGTAAAGAAAACCATATAACTCAGTTTACATTTGAAAACAGGAGGGTAGCTCGCAGGCTCGATATTTTGTCTCTCGTCTCATACCAGCTCACAAGGATCCACCTTATGAACAGGTGAACATCACACTATTAGTAACTTTGATGTGAGAAACTCTAAATGTGCTGCTCTATAAAAATCACCTGTTTACTGAATGATGCAATTTTTTTTTTGCAGGAGGCAAGGTTCCCACAACTTCGGACATTAACATCAGAACAACGAACAAGGCTGAAAAGCAATTTTGTTCACTTTGACGATCCGAGTTTTTGTGAATGGATGCGAAGTTTGAAGACCGTGCCACCACAACTGAGTTGATGACGAGTAGTCTGCAGTCGGTGATTTCGTGGTTTGATTTATAAAACCTGAAGAGGTTTTGGTGAAGCCAAGTTTGTTTGCATCTTATGTGGAATACATACCTAGAGTGAAATCTTGCAGATGTCCCAAAACTCTTTTGATTGAGCCTCTCATTCATTTTGTTCACTTCTGAGAAACATCCACAAAGGTGCAAGTTGCACTTAGAAAAAAATGTTTTTCTTTTGGTTTTGGTTTTTATTATTTGGGGATATGTCCCTCGGCAGAAATTTTCACAATATACATGGCCTCAGTTTGATATGTTATAGAGCAATAAATGGATTCCCTTTATTTATTTTTATTTATAACTCCTGTTGGTTATCTTTTTTTCTTTCTCTCCTTCGACACGGTCGAATTTACATATAAATTTGTAAAATTGCTTTTATTTAGTTATTTGTATAATAGTTTTCAATGCAATCAAAATTTTAGTCAGTTATTTAGGCAATATTTGGATATTGTAAAACGAACGGAATGAAGTGAAACAAAGCAGAATGGAATAACTATGCATGCTGTTTTATTGTTTGAATATTTCATGATGAATATAGAGATTTTGTCATTCGTTCAAATTGGAGAGTACAAAAAATGATAGAAAGTGTTCAAATTGGAGAGTATAAAAAATGATAGAAAGTGATGGAATGA